GGGGCCCCCCCCCCCCCCCCCCCCCCCCCCACGCACACGCACACACTTTGTGTCTGGCCAGAAACCACTGGCCTCGGGTAACCAGCATTTGTAGATACCTGGCACCCCCCATTCCCCACTCATACCTGAGAAGAGGGATTTTACAAAACAGATATTTGCCTGTCCATGCCTTAAATCTCATTGTGGATATACAGAATTCTGGTTTGTAAACTATTCTCTCATGTTCATTTAAGACTTGGGTTTTCAGCAATACAGAATCTGTTCCAGAGCTGAATGCAGTCAACATTCCTTCCCTGCCTCCCCATTATTTTGCTTGCATGAAGATGTCTTTATGCTTTAATACAGGAGTGGAGCTCAGCACCCCTGCCTTGGAGTGTATGCTGGGGACTGGGGGTTGGAACAGGGTGGGCTCCAGCCCGGGGAAGGGAGAGGAACAAGAAGTGCCAAAAGCCAGGGCAGTTACAGGCCAGATACAGTTCTTCAGAGGAACAGCCAGGGGCCTGACAGAATCATTTGATGGGCCATGTTTTGCCTGCCCTTGATTTTAATGCTTCAGAACAAAAGCAAGAATACCTTTGCCCTTATGTTGCATCATCTGGAAATATTTTTCTTCCAAGGCATCTTTATCCTGATGTTGCACGCTTTCTTTTGTTTGAAAACATTTCTGAAGCTTCACTGTTTGAGGGATGGAATTAGCTATGGTGACTGTCTTCAGAGTTGCTTAATTTTAACTTTTGTGTTAGATGTCTTTAGGTACAGGATTTCCACAGTCCCCACAGAGCATATTTTTTGTGCTGCTGTTACAGTTATTTAACCCCTAGCGCTACTGGAAAAGTAGTTGGAATTTATGAGTCACCTGGACTTCCGACAGGGGCAGATGTGCACTACCCTCTTGTTAGCATGCAGTACAGTATTTGTACCCGTAAAACAAATGCATGAGACACAAAGTCAAGAAGTTGAATAGAGTTACCATGATCATGTAGTGTCATGTCACTTATTGTAGCTAAATAGTTTGTGCAGTTCAGTATTATGATGATGGTAGTAAAACCTCTATTGTACATACAGCATCATTCATACTTTAGGGGTAAACTGCACCTACTTTAGTAGGATCCTCGGATCATTTTTCCTGTATCTGTCAGACTAACCTGAGTTGTAGTTTCACTGTATCAAAGTGAATCAGTTATATGGCATAAACCTTACATTTATGTCCTCTATGCCAGCAGATGGCACTAATACATTATCTTGGGGAAATATTTCTTATAGATTTAATATATGCCCTGATGGTTGTCATTTATAACCCTATCTTTCCACAGAAGTAATGTTTAATTTTTTTCCCACACTGCATAATTGTTTGAAATTTTATTATAAAGGATAAAAATGACTTTCACAACATATGTAATTAATTTCAAATAAACACAAACTACATAAAGTTGTTTGATTGTTTGTCTTTGCAGTTTAATTTAGGAAATGCTGTAATAAAAATGGCTTGTAAAACTGCTTGGTGAATTAAATCATCATATAGTATTTTTCCTACAGAAACCTTGTGTAGATGTCCCAAATTGGATACATAACTTAATATGCTGTTTTGTTGCTAATCTCTTTGTGCCTTGGTTTTTCTCCTGTTTCTCCTGTTTTTTCGCCTTGGATCCTCTCATCTTATAGTGTTATTGAGCGAGTGTATTTGTTAATGTTTGTCAATTGGTGTGCACATAAAAAAGGTGTCTGGCCCCATACCAAATAATGAGGTTGAAACAAAATATTGGATAACTGCTTAATAACCGAACACAATTATGTGGATTGAATAAGAAACTAGTCTTTGGAAAAAATAGTGTGAGAGCATGTAATCAAGTATTGTATCAGAATGTCCTGCCATTAGAGGGCTTATTAATGTTGCATAGGCAACTTAACTCTAGCGTTTGTGAGCTTTTGAGTAGGCTTTGTATAAAGGCAAGGATTTTTTAGGGCGTTATCTTTTACTGGATCAAAATCCTTGCTTCTAGCATAATTTCTGGACTGTTATGGCTGTAGCATCACTCTTATACTACCATAACATGGAGGATATCAAAAATCCTCCAGGCTTTGTAAAGCAAGTATAAAGTAGGTTTTTAGGTGTCGTTTCTCATGGCTTTTTTAAAAACTCAGTGATCATCATCAGTACTATATTTGACACCTACCTGGGTTACCTGTGTGTTTTTTGTATTTTTCTTGCTGCAGAAACCTCTGCCTTTAAACTGCTTCCTCCAAAGTATGCAGGCTTTGAGAGTCTTTTCAACTATACAATTTTAAAAATATTTTCTTAACTTGGGGGGAAAACAGTGTTTCAGTACATACTCTCATTCTCATAAATGGGTGAACTATTTTTTTAACACTGAGAGAAAATATCAGTCTGAAGCAAATACTTTACATGGAAAATTTCATCCCAGAGGGCCAACGTTGGGCTAAGTTATAAGCACCTGGAAATAGTATCTTAGAATAGGAAATGCTAGGTAACCTCATGTATAGATATTTTATTAGATTCCAGTTATTTGAATAGGTGTCTCCCCAACAGACTTATCCAAATAATTAGTGGATTATGCTAATCAATGGAAAGGACCTGAAAACAAAACAGAATACAGAAACTGGTAGCGTGGCACTTCATTGCAAAAATTCTCCCCCCACCACCTCCAGCCCCCACCCCTCAGCTTTAATTTTGGAACATGTACTTGAAACTGTGCAAACAACCAGAAATGCAGTAAATACAGCAATAAACAATGGTATAATATAATATGCAAGATAATTCAGAAGAATGTATGGCCTCATGACATCTGTTATTTTTGTTTGAGAACAGCTTCCAGTTTTTTGTCAACAAAATCTTCTCTTTGATTTTAAAAAAAAACCAAAAAAAAAAAAAACCAGCTGAAGTCTTCACAGAAGTGCTCTGCCATAAATTGGCAACGTGTTTAAAACTTTTTGCATGTTACTGGATAACACGGGTACTTAGGTACTGTCGTCTTTGTCAGTATCATCTGCGGCGGTACATGTGAGCTGCTTCTGAAGTATAGTTTCATCAGTTGGTGTCCTGTAATAGACCATGTTGCTGTCATAAGAAGTATATTGGGTACATTCTTTCTCTCTTTTTTGGCTGGGTCAGCAGACATTATCCTCTGTTCATGCCATCTGGTCCCTGATTTGTATCTGTCAGTAGTACAAAACCTTCTCTATGAGAACAGTTAATGTTAGCATTTTGTTTCGCATTTTTCCAGGCTCTCTCAAGCATGTCATTCATCCAGAGGTGTTAATTTTTTGCTAAGTTGTTGACACTTGCTGCTGAGATGCTACTTATATCTCATATAATCCTCTGAACGACATGACTTGTGGCCCTTACAGTTTTGAATGACTCCCTGGTCACATGGATGAATTACCTGCT